TAAATAATTGCAAGAGTGGGTATTTTTTGGGGGGGGAGCTTTCTGGAATTTTTTTTTCTGATTACTTTTCATCCACTGTTGGTTGAATCTGCTGATGCAGAACCTGCAGATACTGAGAGCTAATTGGACCCAGTGATGGGATTCAGAAAGTCTGTGACCACTCAGGTTGGCTCTGGCTGCTGGTGCGGATTTTTTTGGTTCTTGGTGAGGCGGACCCGTAAGCTAGTCCATCAAAGGGCTTGGCTGATCACCAGGACCCTGAAGTAGGGAAGGGGATGGAATAGAGTAAAAGTGAGATTCCTTGTTTTCACTCGTACTGGGGTCTGGAGATTGGGGGGGCAGGATATAGTCTCTAAACAAGGAGGGTATAGTGGCTTAAATAATGCCCCTCCAAAATATATGCCAACTGGAACTTTATTTGGAAATAGGGTCTTGGCAGATTTACCTAATTAAGATGAAATCATATAGGTACAGGATTAGAATGGGTTCTAAATCCAGTGACTGGTAGTCTTATAAAAAGAGAAGAGGACACACACAGAGAAGAAGATCATGTGCAGATGGAGGCAGAGCTTGGAGTGACGCAGTTATAAGCCAAGGATTGCTGGGAGCCATCAGAAACTGGAAGAGGCAAGGAAGGATTCTTCCCTAGAGTCTTCAGAGGAACATGACCCTGCCAACACTTTGATTTTGGACTTCCAGCCTCCTGAACTGTGGGAGAATAAATTTCTGTTGTGTTAAGCCACCCAGTTTGTGGTCCTTAGTTACAGCAACCCCGGGAAATCAACACAGAGTGGCCCTTACCATTGGTGTCAGATGCTGCAGCCTGGAACAAGGTCAGGGAAGCCAAAAGGACTGGGAGATGGAGAAGGACCCGCATCACTGAAACGAGACCCAGGATCATGGCGTGAGCCTTGGAGAGTCCCCATGGTGGGGAGCTGAATCACAGAAAGGGGATGATAAAGCAAAAACAGCCCAGAGAATGCCAGACACCCTGACATTGGGGCAGAGGAGGGGAAACCACAGTAACTAAGCATCTCCCGTGTGTGCAGGTCCACGGTAGGTACTGAGAGATGGAAAGGAAGGAGCTCAGGCTTCGGGGTCAGGAGGTCCTACGTTGTAGTTCTCCACGTGCTCTAACTAGCTCTGTGACATCGGGCAGGTTACGTAACAT